ATATAAGCCAAAGAAGTTGTGAAAGCACATGCTGGAGTTGGAGTTGGGTGCTTTGAAAAGGGAGAAAGCAAGACTTAAGTTAGAATTAGTTTTTCCCCCCTTGTCAATATCAAGCATCTGGTTCTAGACTTTTCTTTCTTTTTCCATTTGAAGGGAAGGTAATAAGAACTGTGTGTAATATATGCATGTCTTAATAAAAGATGTCTATATTACTGTCTGTAATACTTAAATTGTATGTAAGGAAGAAAATTAAATTTAAATAACCACTGAGTGAAGCAGGAAAAGCTACAGAATAGCATTTGTTTTGCTGTGGGCATTTTATTTCTGTTGTAAGGGAACAGACATAATTTTATTGATTTTACTGCCTGTTAACTAAGAACTTAAATCACAACTTCAGGTACTTCACACAAAACCTAGGGAAGTGAGCAAATCAGGACTTGTAAATGTTGAATTACAAACCACTGGAATTCTCCATTATGCAGTCGTGTAAATACAGAAAAAAAAATTATCTCTTGGAGTTAATTTTCTTTTTTGTAGTTTTGGTAGCAACCTGGAACACAATGGCAGGTGTGTTGCTTCTCTTTCCTTATCATGTTATGTTTGTTTTCTGTAGGACAGATAGGCCCAAAGTGGCCTAATGGGTTAGTTACTGATTAACAATTTTTCTGATATGGTCAGCACTTAAAGTTTCGGGTGTAGCTGACCAAGAGGTTGCATTCATCTCTAATAACAAGTTGGGCATGATCCCAATCCTCTTCTGCTTGGGAGAGGAACTGGCTTGCGTGTTCTGTAAATAGAAATGTAAAAGAGGTGAGGTAAGGAAATAAAAGTAAATAAAAGTTGAAATGTGGGCTTTTATAACTGACACAACTGTGCAGCAACCCCAGATAAACATTTAAAAAATGCTGTAGGTGAACATCAGTAGTAATGACTGAATAGATTGCTAATTTTCTAATACATAACAGATACTTTAATATCTTGCTAAAATGCTAACTAGGAGAGTTCAGAACATTTTTATAGATTATTCTCCTGAGTTTAATCCTCCCTGAAACAGCAATCATGAATGTCTGAGATGAAGAAAAAAGTACTTTAAAAAAAAGAAAAAGGAAGTTATTGCAATTGTCTTATGTTGATTTTTTTTAAAAAATAGGCTTTAGTCAATTTGAAAAGCTAAGGTGAGATTCCAAAACAATCTGGTTAGTATCCTTACTGATTTGAGAGTCCTATAAGAAAACTGACTTCTTGTAAAATTAAAAGTGTAAAACATACTGCAGAAAACCTTTGTGCTCTTTCACAATCTCTAGGGTGTTACCTGTAACTAGAATCAGTGTAGTCTTTGATACCTAGATGACAGTGCTCTTCCAGACAATACCTCCAGACAATACTGTCTTATCTGAAAGACTTTGTGTTTTGTCTTAACTACCTTTATGTTTGTACTTGTGGAGTATGTGCTTTTTTGTAATATGTAGTTGATAATTATATCAACTTTCGAGTAATATTAATTGAATTTTGTATTTTAGGGTAAAATCTTTGGAACATCTTTTTATGCGCTACCACGATCACTTGTGCCAGAATATGGTTACATTCCAAGGTAAATTAACAATGTATAATTTTACACCTACTTTTTTCTCTTTATAGTATTGAACCCTTGTCAGGAGAAGGAATGAAATAGTTCTTCCAGGTCTGCTAAAGCTTATGGTAGATATAGGAATAGTTTCAGCTAGGGAATGAGGGACACAGAAGTTAGATGGGGAATTCAGAGCCACAGCTCTCATTCAGTTGTATTTCTTTATACTTCTCGTCACTGGGGGAAATTATTCTATGTATAAAGTTTTATAACAAAACTATGAAATAGTTTTTCTGGAAAAAAACAAGCTTTTTTCTGAGCATCAAAGTATGTTTCTGTACTTTTCTCAGCTTTCTTGTTGAGGCTTGTGAATATTTGGAAGAACACGTTCATACTGAAGGACTCTTCAGAAAGTCTGGATCTCTTGTTCGTTTAAAGGCTTTGAAGGTATTCTGTAAAGCTGCTCTTGTTTTTCTTAGTAAGCTGCATTTCACTAGATCATCTGCATGTTTTAATTTTTGGACTCTTTTCAGTCATATTCAAGTTTTAATATTGGAAGTAGATTGGTAACATTATGTGCTTTAGAAATGAGAAGATCTAGTCCAAAAACTGACAGGCTTCCCTTTATTTTTAAAACGTTTTGGCCTGGTGACTGAACAAGCTCATTTACAGTTGTGCACACTGGATACTGTGAGGATATTTGTTTAGCAATGTTCTCCTAGAGGGTGTGTACATGGGAAACATGTAAATCACACATGTGCTCTGACAGCATTGCCTGTGTCTCACTGTAGATACTATAGTTGGGTAACACCTGACAAGGCTGAAACTAACTATGGGGAAGGTGTGATTGTCTTTTCTGACTTGTGGATTAATGAGGATTAATGCCTAAACTTAAAAATCTGATGATATGTTGAAGACTTTAAATCATGTTTCTTGTGAAAAATTTCAGAGTAAACTGGATCAGGGTGAGAACTGCCTCTCAGCTGCGCTGCCATGTGATGTTGCAGGGCTTCTCAAACAGTTCTTTAGAGAGCTGCCAGAACCCATCCTTCCGCCTCACCTGCACGAAGGCCTTGTCAAAGCTCAGCAGCTCGGAAATGAGAGGAAAATTGCAACTGTGTTGCTGTCGTGTTTGATGGCCGACAGAATAATTGAAACTTTGAGATACTTTTTCAACTTTCTGAGAACTGTGTCATTAAGGTGAGTGTACAGAGAATGCTTGTAAACAGGCCTTATTCCTTTAGCGACTTCTCTTTCCAGGCAAGTGCTCTAACTTTCTGTGAGTGGTTTGAACTTTAAACTTCTTTATCTGCAGACATTCATTAGAATTCAGTCATGGTCTTTTATTTCATAAATCTCCAAGCTGGAGATTTGACTTTGTTCAAGCTGTATTTCTCATTCTTCTTTGGAAAGCAAAATTGCCGTAATCTAACTGATATTTTGCATTCTCCAAAACTGAAGGTGGTATATAACCTCTATCCTCCTGATTTCAATGACATAGTCGTGCAGTTACCTGGCTTGGTATGCATAAATCTACACATTAATCTCGTCTTGTTATGTAAGCACTTGAGTGAATTATTCCATTTTTATTTTTTTAACTGCATTTGTCTTATTTGTTCTTTTCACTGCTGATGTCCTGATAACTTGTATAAAAAACCTTTTCCTGTTAAGATCCAATGAAAACAGAATGGATAGCAGTAATCTGGCAGTGATTTTTGCTCCCAACCTCTTGCACTCAAATGAAAATGAAAAGATGTCAGCTAATATGGAAAAAAAAATTCGCTTGCAAGCTGCTGTTGTGGAAACACTTATTGACCATGCAGCAGAAATCGGTAGGTTGATAAATGTTTATCAAAATGTCTCATTTTACTAACCTGTATGCAGTTTTTCTTTTCATCTTTTAAGAATAATTTAAAAATATATTTCTTAACTAATCCAGGGCAAGTACCAGAATTTATCTTGGAAAAGATTCCTGCAATGTTGGGCATTGATGTCTTTCAATCTACTCCCTCACTGTGGGGCCAGGAAGACAGTGAAAATGAATCTCCCAGTGAATGTAAGAGGAGGAGGCACCGAAGTGTTGGGGGTAGGTATGTTTTGTGAAAGTTTCAAAACCAAAAATAGAATTGAAACTTCAAGTATCCTGATCCTAAGTGCTTGCTTTGTCCAAAAGCAAAATAGACATCTGTGAAACCTGTTGGGCTTGGTTTGCAAAATCTAAATAAGACTTCAGTAATCGTGTTACTTTATTTTATATTTACTCTGAGTTTATTCTAGTGTGTCTGTTGTCTACCAAAAAATAGATTTCGGTTTGTATGGATTTGTGAAGCCAAATTAATATTCCAGCCTTTGGTTGAGTCAGCTGCAGATCCTGTTGCAAAACAGTAAAAGTTGATTTTTTTTTTTTGTTCTGTTATGGTTAGGTTTGGGCTTTTTTTACTGGTTTTGAAATGATACTTCAACACATACCTTGATAAGTCAAGTCTTGAGAAAGTAAGGATACAAATGGCAAGTCTGTTTTTAATTAGAGTAGCTAATTTGTGTTTTGAAGTGTAACTTTGATATTATTGGATACTGTGTGCTCTGGTGTCATGGATCTAGGGGTTTGGTGTGATTTTTTGGTTTGGTTTTTTTTGTTTGGTTTGGTTTTGTTTTTTTTTTTCAGTTTTCAATAGGGTTGGGTGGGGTTTTTTTCCAAAATGTGGACAATCAAATGGTATATTCTCTGTTCTGCACTCTCAGAGGAAATACTGTGGAATACATTTACCTGATGATTAAAATCCACTATTACACTGATCTTTTATGTATTGCTATAAAAATATAGGTATGTATTTAGCTTGTGTAGCTGGAGTGTTAATCCTCACAGCAATTGAAATTAAGGGTGTATGATTGTATATGTTTAACCAAGGCATGTTTTGTTGTGTAATATGCTTTACCACTGAAGAAGGGAGACCATCCAGAGTTGCAAAGTGATAAACACGAATGTTAACATTTTGAGGAGAATCAGTTAGAATTTGGTAGTTCTGTGGAACATGTTCCAATAGTAGGCAGGTGGTGCTCTTTTTTAAGATGTAGTACAACATAGCATTACTACATTTTAAGTTTCCAGATACCATAAAAGTACCAAAGCTTGTAGTTTACTAAGCTTTCCTGTGAACACATGGAAATACAATTGTAGGTTGCAATAGCACTATAGGTTTTGGTACCTGAAACAACTATTTAAACTGATATGCTTTATTTCTCCCTGAAAAGAATACAGTTTAAAGTTGGGTTGAAAATAGAGCAAGACAAACTTCACATTTAAATTTGATTGCTTGGTGTGTCTTGCATTTCAGATATTGTTAGTGGAGCATTGAATAAATTTAAATCTAACAGAACACCCTCCACTACACCCCAGCAAGACAAAAGTGGTAGGTATTGGTGCATTTGTACTAAATAAAGCCCATGCAGTATCTTCAGTATTTGTTAACTATATTCCACAAATTTTTTTTAACTGAAGAATTAGAACTTAATTGAATTTAAATTATTTAAAACTGTGAATATAGATATATATTTATTGAGGATACTGCATTTACTGTAATTCTTGGAGCAGCTATAATCACTGCAGCAGTGGGCTGTGTGGTTTACTTCCGGGATTACACAACCAAACTTGCGCTTTTTAGCTAATGCACACTAAGGCTTCAGTGCAGTAGTGCAGCATTTTATCATCTTGGGAATGAATTTGCCAGGACTGAAATTCTTTCACACTTACTCTGTCTCCTAAACTAATGGTATATGGCTATACTTTTACTTCCTCCTAATACCTATTTTGTTAATTAATGTGTGGGTTTGAATTTTCCTTTCTGGTACTCTAAACTTGCAAAAAACCCCAACAAAATAAAAAACTTCCCCCTAAGCCATACTGATTGTTTGCCTGTTCAAAATGCATGCACTTCGGCTAAGCTTTTACAACAATTTTCTTTCAGAGTTAAAAAACCCAGAACAATTATTTATTTTAGTAAACTCTCAAACTTTTAAGCTGTTATTACCAATTTGATTTTCTTTATTTCAGTCCTTTCATCAGTGACTCCAGTGGTTCTTACTCCAAGTACCAAGCGTAAACTTCCAACTGATTGCTCTCAGGGCTTGTCCAGCAAGAAGAGACGGTCTTTTAAGCATAGTTTTGCCTTTGAGTTCTTACCAACTAGCATTTTTAACAGCAGCTCAACACCAGCATCAGGTACGGTGCCTTCACTTTTTCCTCTTGGCTGGGAGTGGTTGGTTGTGGCTTTTTAATTTAAGTGTAGAGTCTTCTGTTCTTGTTAGGCAGACACTGATGCTCATTACTTTAGTGTACCTTGCACAACTTCCCTATCTTGGTACATAGTGTATGTTTATGTACGTTAGTAGTGTCATGTCACATGGATTGAGCAAAAGCATAAGTCTTCTATTATCTCTGACTTGCAGTCCTGATGTCCTTTTACTTTTTCCATCCCTTTCTATCGTTGAGGTTATTTATAATTCTGTTTCTGTTTTAACACACAAATCCGTGAAGACTGCCTATGCTTCCAACCTCTTGAAAGTTGTTGCCTTCTGTCTCCTAAATGCATAAATAGCTGATCTTAGCTCTATGTGAAATATGATTGTGGCTATTATAAAGGTTCGTTCTTGTATCCAGTCACTTCTTGTTTTCTCTAGATGCTAAATAACCTCAAAACTCTAAAGAATAATTTTTACTTTTATTTGATAGTGTTTTAGTACTGCTTTATTCTACTAGAGCGCTTTCAACTGTCAGGCTCTTCTGCAGATCCTGGGTTTTTTTTTTATTTGGTTCTTTAATGTCCTGCCAACTCAAGTTAGACTGAAAAAAATTTCTAGGTTGGCTTTTTCTTTTGCCTGAAGATTATTTCACCCCCCCTCAAATGAGTGATCTAAAACTTACTGCTTTTGTTTATTAAATCATTTCATGTTCTCTGAAATTCTTGGTTTTGTGCATAAGCAAATCAAAACAGTGACGGTTTGTAAAGCTAGTATAATGCATGTGTTTTGTAAAAAAAGTTGAGTTGTAGAACAGCAACTCTTGAGGGTTTCTTTAACTCTTCTGGCTAGGTATGTAAAAAAAAATAAATACTGCAAATAATATTGAGACTGAATCTAATTTTTCTTATTAAGTTCCTAATTTGAGGAACTGATCTGATGATAACAGCGTGGAAATTTACTTGAAGTAGTGATATCAGCAGCATGTAATTAATTGCATTCCAGCCACTTTTATGGATGCTTCAAGGAACAGCTTCATTTAATAGTAAAGTGGAAGTCAAATTAATTTCAAACCAGCACTCCACAAAATAAGCAAACAAATCTTGTGCTGTTTAAAAACCTATTCTTTACTGTGTTAACTGTTAAGTCTTTACCTGAAAAAATGTGACTATTTTAAATCATATAAATATAATTTTGTTCCTGTAGTTCACTTTGAAGCAAGTCCCTGTGTGTCTCTTGAGTCATCACAAACTTCACTATCTCCTTCAACCATGGGTGAAAATCATCTGTCTAGTACAGGGAACAGAAGAAGCAAAAGACTTGCAAACAAAAAGTTATACAGGTAATTTGCCTTAACTCTCAGAACATAAAAAATTGGAAAGATGGGTCTACACCTCTTGACTCATGATATGTAAAGTCTCAACCTGTCTCTAAAATTATCTTTTTTGGTAGCAACTTGGATAGTAATCTTAAAGTGACCAGATCTTCCAGTGTGGCAAAATGGAGCTCAAAACAAAATAAGAACTGGTATAGTAGCTTCCTGTGCCTAGTAAAAAAAGGTTGGCAAGAAGGCAATAAAGTAAAACTAGAGGAAATAACTGTAAATGTCAGGATATTTTCACTGCCCTCCTGAAGTTTTTTTATGTGTCACTTCTTCCCCTCTCTCCTCCCAGGGCTGAATCAGGAAAGACAGGTTGTTTTTCTCCTAAGATAAGCCGAAAAGAAATGGTTCGTAGGTCATTGCGCTTGAAATTTGGTTTGGGGAAAAGCAATAGAGAACAGGTAAGTATTCTGCTTTTAACCCAGTCTTCTTGTTAGTGTGCAGATTTTAATCCAAACTCTTGGGCCCTGATTTCCAGTAGCAAGAGGGACTTATTTTGTAATGGAGGGGATCACAATATTAACTGGACCTACTAGCTGTCAAGTACAAGAAGCCTGAGGTTTATTTTCATAGCAGTAACTGATCAGCTTGTACTCTGTTTGGTTGGGATGGGGCAAGAGGCTGAGGGAGGGGCAGCTGACTTGAATTAACCAAGGAGCGATTCTGTGCCATGTGATGTCAAGCTCACTAATAAAACTGGGATGGGGGTAGTTTTTTTAAAGTAGCCACTGCTCAGGGGCTTGTTGAGAATTGATCTACCTGCTATAAGTGAAGGCCTTTGTATGGTGTGGGTTTGGAGTTTTTTGTTTGTTTGCTTTTGTCTGTGATGTGTGTGTGTCTTTCCCTTTTTACCTTTCCAATTGTCCCCCTCATCCTGTTGGGGAATGGGGAAAGCGAGCATGTGGCTGGATGGGAGCTTGCCTGCCAACTGGGATCAATCCCATCACACTTGTAGGGATGTAGATCAGTAGGTCTCACAGCTCCTGAACTTCTGACCCTGCAAAGGCTATGCAGAGAATCACTGTTCAGGGTGTGATTAAGTCTGCCTTACTGCAGGTAGGCTGTTCTCTACCTAGGTCTACAGAGAATCAAGGGAAGATAAAATATGGCCAAGAAAAGGCTGCTATGACTGATTTGCATAGCCTTTTCCTGGAGGTTCATTTGTAAATGAGATTACAAGTTTATATAAAAGCAACTAACACTTTGTGTTTGTTCAAGAATATTGTACCAGGATGTACAGTTGGCAATAGATCTGAAAATATTGGAAGGCGTCTTGCAAGTCAGCAAGGTTTGGAAAGCAGAACGGAATGTGTGAAAGGAGATGGACTCTTCAGCCCGTATATCAATGAAAAATATCCTAAGAAAGGTAATTATCTTACTGAGTATATTAGATGGGGAAAACTTTTACTTTTTTTTGTAAAGCAAAAGTAACTTTATGGATAAAAGTATAAAAGCAGTTGAATAAAAGTGTACTTCTAGCTAAAGTTACTTGAGTGTTAGTGGCTTCTGGGGAAAAAGAACTGGTTTAGAACAGACTTGTTGTGTTTCTTGTGTGTTTTAGTAGTTCTGTTTTGTTAGTTAAGCAAGATGAGATGCATGATTTCAGTTCTTAATATTGCAACATTTTTTCACATTTCTGAAATTTAAGGGAGTAACAGTGTCTTTAAATTTAGTGCTGCTTGGACAATTAGTTTTTTAGTAATAATTTTGCCTATAATTGTTGTTAAAATCACAAGATACTATTCTTAACCACTGATATTTATTTATTTTAAGGTTCGAGGAATGTAAGCAAGTCAGAAGAAAACTTGCTAACTCCAAAATGTGACAATAAGGTAGTTCACCGAATGTCATGGAATAGTCCTGCTGTTATGGATTCTCAGGTGATCAGTAAGAGTGAGCAGATTCTGCCAGGACACCCTGAAATGAGAGCTGGCTCTTCAGAATCTGTTTCATTATCTGGAAAGCCACCAGTTGTTCCAGATGAATTCAAATCCTCAACTGTAAGCAAACAAGACAACAGCTTGGAACTTGTGCTTTCTGAAGAGGAAAGTAATTCAACTGCAGAAACATTACTGAAAGTTAAGCAAGCCTTCTCTGCATCTGGAAGTATTTGTCACAATTTGATAGGTGATAAATCTTCCCTCATGAATGTAGCAAGTGAAACATTAAATGAAATTCTGTGTGACACTGGGCTCAATCCAGGGAAAGAATTGTTAGCTGAAGAAGTTTCTGAAAATCTAGGAAATATAAAATCCAGAGAGCTGTTGCACCAATTTAATCAATCTTCTGCTGCTGATAAACAGCAGTCAAAAACCCCTGAAATTAAAGTTTTGGAGAAAAGAAACTTCAAAACATCTCTTGAGATTGAACTTCAGGTCCCAAAACTAGATACAAAAAATGTAACAGAATTTCCTGTGCCTCAAGTACCAGACAGGGAAGACAAGTTGACTGTTCAGAACAGTTCAACAAAAGATGACTTAAACAAATTAGATTTCTTTGGAAGGAAAGAGGAAATAGAATTAATACACTCACAAAAAGCTGAAAACTGTGTGGTAAAATGCTGTAATTTAGAAGAAGGTACTGCTAAACTTTCTTCGGCAGGACAGCTTCCTACTTCACAGTTGCCTAAATTGCAAAATAACGTAGGCAACCAATACTTGAAAGCTGAAAATTCTGATAAAACTTTAACTAAAACATCAACTGTTTCTGACCGTGGAAAGGTTTCTGACCACATACAGTGGTTCAACAAGCTTTCATTAAATGATCCAAGTTCTGCAAGCGAAACTAAACCACCTCTGAAGTTTCAACGTACTCCAGTTAGACAGTCTGTAAGAAGAATGAATTCTTTGTTGGAGGCTAACAGACGATCTGTAAGCTCTCAGCCACTTAAATCAAGCAGTGTTGGTTCGCCACTTGTTAAATCTTTGAGCTGTGATTCTGCACTATTCTCCTGCACAGAAAAGCCCTCAAAGAGTTCCATGGTTTTGCCATGCAGGAGTGAAAGTATGTGTGACCAAATTTCTATATGTCATAAGCAGCTAAACTTAACATCCAAATCACATTGCAGGCCATCAAATCCATCAGACAAGCCTGATGTTTCTGTTAGATCTGCTGGAATCCATGATCAAAAAGTGACTGTTCATCCATCAAAGTCTGTTCTAGAAGATCTAACCAATCATGAAACGGTTAAATCTGGTTTGAAAGTTAATGCAAATATAAATATTCAGGGTGTTGCCCCAGAAAAATCTACAATCACAAGAAGTGCTCCAGGAAAAGAAAGAGTTCGTTACAGAGGTTCTCCAAAGAATCCAATATCTACAGTGAAATTGCTACCAACTGCAAAGCCAGTAGACTTATAAGACCAAATATCGTGGCTAAGTGGGTTCATTGTAACTTGGTTAACCTTTTGAAAAACCTGAATTTTAATTTTTTTTTAGCTCTAATTATTTGTAATTTTTGATTTATTTTAACTGTATGAGTCATGGAGATGTACAAATATTAATTTGTTTTGAGGTTTTCTTCTAAAGCAAAAATAACCTGTTTCTACAAATATTTGTGTTATATCTCAAATTTGATTATATAAGCTTCTAAAAACATGCTGCATCTCCCAAAACAGTTTTTGCAGTATTTAGATTAAGTGCCAAGTTTAAAAAACCCCCACACTTCTCAAATATTTAAAACAAAACTAACAGACATGTAAAAGAAAATATCTTGATGCTGATTAGTGGTAGTTAAAGTTATTTACTTTTTAGTTTCAAGGGTATTGTAGCACTACCCAGTGCTACTAAGTTGGATCTTGTATGAGCTCTATGCCTTTTGAGACAATTTTTTGATTTCGATTGGAGTAAATTGGGAATATATTTTCCTTGTTGTGTAGGTGAATATCAGAATAAAAACTCATGCTTGCACACACTGGAGAATTAATAGAACACGTGGAAAACAAATGTGAAGTTTATTCAAAAAGCAAGAAGTCTTAATAACATCATCCAGTGATGTGCTCTGCAATAGGTACCAAGTATTTTCAGTTGTGAGCGGTAAAATGTGTCTTAATGTGAGAGGGAGTTTTAACTTATTTTTAGAGCAATAGAATAGTGTTAACTAGATGGTGCAGAAGTCAGTTTTAGATGCTGAAAGTGTTGCAAGAGACGAATGCAAGACCCTATAGTGTGTTAAAAGTTGATTTGCACAAGCAAATGTTTGTATTTTTTAGAATGAAAACTGTTTGTTTGTCATCAGTTGTAAAATTATTTAAGAGTAAACACTTGAGAATTGTTTATTGGCAAAATGTTAGAGCTGAAGCACTGGATATTTTGGTTTTAATAAAACCATTATTTTTTTCCCTTTTCTGAAGTTGTTCTTCTATAATGACTTAAAAAGTTAGATTATGTTGTTATATGCAGACTGTAGACACCAAAATTAGTAACTCTGAGAAAACTGAAGTCAGAAGCAAATCTGTTCTGGCTGTCTTTTTTTGTTCATCTTAGATACAGGTTGGTGGTTCTCACAACTAGCAAAAGGCGTGGTGCAACACAGTTTATCGGCAATAGTCTTCTCACCTTAAACAGTATGTTAATCAAAGGTAATAGTTCTTTCTGTTCCCTGCCTCTTTCCCCGTGTGTCTGCCAGCTTGCAAGGTGAATGGGTTCAGCTGGTTGATCTGTTGGAAATTTCCTCTCTCACTTGGTTTGCTACATTACTGTGAAGATCTAGCACTATGGAAACAGCCTTGAGAATATCTTAGCAGGATCACTTGGTGTTGTGGTTAAATATGAAGCTTAAGTTTCATAAACTGAAGCTCCACTTTCATGAAGTAAAGAAGTCGATGTAACAGTTCACCACCATCCAAAGAGGAAGCTCCTGCTCTTGGCAACACGCTCTTACCCTCTGCCTTTAGCTGGTGTTGGTAGATCCTTCAGTTGATTAAATGCAGGCACCAGAGCACCACATTTTGTATCTTCTCACTGAGGTAAATAAGGATCAGCAAAACAACTTCCAGCTTTCATAGCAGATGCAAGGAGGTAGGAGCTGAAAATAGGACAGAAGGAAATAAAGGCAATGTCATGAAGAAAATGAGATCTGACTCCTGTAATAGTGAGCTGTCACATCAATTTTTGTTTGGAAGAGTAAGACTTGAGACTTTTTTTCCCCGTTATTATGTACCAAATATTTTGAATGCAAGTGTAGCTTTGACAATGTGTCCCAGATGGAGCAATAAGCTACTTTTGATGATCGATGCAAGCCAGTCTTGAACCACTAGACTTAGATGTCAGAAAGGAGAATTTGGTAGGGCCCTGACAAAGGAAGCTTTAAATGCCATAAAAACAACTGTCAAGGTTTAGGCTCTGTTTTTACAGGTTTTGCAGAACAGTTTTGATACATATCCATTTATATAAAGTTGATTATGTTTTGCAGAAGCACTAGATACCAAGTAGAAGTCCCTACTGCTTAATCTTGCTCATATAATGTACTATAGAACAGCAGAAAGAGAGAATAGTGTAGATTTGAAAGTGTAGGTTGTGGTTCTGTTGAGGTTTGTGCAGTATAATCTCTGAGTTTATTTCTGTAACTGTTAATCCATCACAACACTGCAGTTTTATTTTTATGCTATTGTGTTTAACTGAAAAGGGAGATTTTTGTGTCATCTTCTTAACGGGACAAGCCCAGGCCGCGAGGGCACGGTTCCTGCGCATCCCCCGGGCATCTCCCGGCGCGGGGAAGGGGGAGAGGCGGTGTGTGCGCACGGAGGATGCGCGGCCGCGGAGCCGCCGCACCCGCAGAGCCGCGCCGGGAGCGGGAGGTGAGCGGGGCGCTCCGCGGGGCGGCCTGGCCCAGCACGGGGGGTCGGTGCTGCCGCAGGGCTGCCCTGGGGCCGGGCCACGGCCCAGCTGCCCCGAGGGGCGCCTCAGAAGGGCACGGGGGTGCGGGCAGCAGAGCGGCAGCCCTGCTCGTCTGCGGATTTACGGGAATGTTCTGTAAAAGCGGGCTTTTTTTCCTCGAAGCAGAGGCTGTGGGGGCTGATGGAGCGGGAGGGTTGCGAGGGGCGTGCGGTGGTGTGGGGGAGCCGCGCACAGGCGTTGCTGGGAATATTCCCAGCATTGGGGTTTTCAGCCATTTTTGCTTCAAAGACGTTTCCAGGTACCTTGCGTGGGGCGGCTGGAGTATTGGAGCATCTTTTACTGTCTGGAGTGGTGAAATCAGACAGCTGTGCGTGTGTTAAGGACATACGTGGGGGAAGGGGGGGGTGGGGGGCACAAGGAGTCGAGGGGGTTTGTTTATCCAAGGGATTGGAAGTGATGCATTTTAATTATTTTCTGACGTGAGGGGAAAAGGAGGTTTGAGAAAACAAGCATTCTGATTAAAATTCAGCCTCTCAAAGAAGATAGTAAGGGATACTTTGATATTTTTCTTTTTGTTGTTGGCTTTGGGTTTCTTTTTTTCCTATTTAAACTGCACTGAGCAGCTATTTAGTGAAAGGGATTCAAGGAAACAAATCAATTTGCTTCAGGTGGGAAAGATGATGCATATGAAGTAGGAAGCCTTTTGTCTTCAGGTGCAAATAAACCATATCTAGGTTGTTCAGCAGTCTCTCATTATTCATTTTTCAGTCAATGCGAGAATAGAGCTTGGAAAATACAGTTCCTGCCTGAAGAGTTCTTAGTCTAGAGATTTATAAAATAGCGTAATAAACATGGGGGGGAGAGGAAGGGGAGGGGTGTAGTGGATGACATATTCTCATTAAATGAAAAACTGGATTCATTTTGTTTGCAGTGACTGTAATGAATGTTATGGGCAAATACAGAACAGAAAACTGATTTCTGCAGTTTGCTACTTAATATTTCTTTTAGAAGAGAAGAACAAACCCATCCTGTTTCCCCCCCTCCTAGTTTCCAGCTGGCTAGATTTTCAGCTGCCCCTAGAAGCTGTGGTAGTAAACTGTGACATCTGGTGGTAAGATCAGATGTTATTTCCACCATGTGTACAAGATTTTTTCCCCTACTATAATTTATAATCAAATTCTTTTCTTTTTCACAGGATAAAAGTGGCTACCACTATGATAACTACCTTGTTTTGCAACATGATATTTCTGCTGGCATTTGGATTGGCTTCAGCTTTCAGCCATAGCCCTAGGATGCCTGACAGGGTTACTGAAGCAGATATACAAAGGCTCCTCCATGGGGTTATGGAGCAATTGGGCATTGCCAGACCCCGGGTAGAATATCCAGCACACCAGGCTATGAATCTTGTTGGTCCACAGAACATTGAAGGTAGCTGATTTCTACTTTGACTTGTGATGAATTTATTAGTATGCTTTGGTAATAATTAAAACTTTGTTTATAGATGCAGAAATAATATCCTGAGCTTAAAATCAGGACTTCTTCACCATGTTGTTGCTTTATCTTGTTTTAAAATCGTCATTCATCTTCCACCTTCCTTAATGCAATAATGTTGCCAGAAGTAGTGGGATTTTTTTTAATGTACAGGCTTTGCAGAAAAAGTTATGTTACCTTAGCAGTGTCTGATCTCTAGTACCTCGAAACTATGGCTTTACTAATTTATACCTGAATATTGCGCATAAATATATCACATATATGTTCTACATGAATCAAATGTGACCTATAGAGTCCAAATCTCTTGGATTTTTATAAATGTTTACAGAGCAAAAGAGATCAAGTATTTACAGTGCCATGCAAGATAAAGAGATAAAGCTTACATTGGGATCCTTCCTTCATGCTGCAGAATCCTTCATCTGCAGGATCCATTCTGTAGAACACAGGAGGAAGCCAGGGCTCAAGATGCAGGCGGGAAGGACATGGATACTTGTCTTCCTGCATCCAAAAGTAGCACCTCAACAGTGTATTGATGTGATGAATGCTCTGGGCTCAGTTTAATTTTTTTTGGCCAATACCTCTGACCTGTAAGTTTTCCTTGGAATAAGTTTCTTAAAGCTATGTAAATCATCTGAAATATCTGGCTTAAATGTTAAGGTATTGTGATAGTGTTGCAATATGTTGCTATTTTAACTGTACAAACCAGCTTTTATTCTGGCGTGACAGCAAAAGCTTGAAGGTATGCAAATCCAAATATTATTGTTTGTGTTCGAACATCAAAACAGAGCAGAAGCTCTCAACCCTTCTCTCAGAATTAAACTAATTTGACACAGTGTAGCAAGTCTCCAGAGTCCATAAGACTGTGTTCTTTATTTTATCCTCATCCTGATCTACAGACTATCCTAGCCAAACAGATACAATTGCTCTAATGGAGGCTAAGGAGGGAATTAAAACTGAATAGGTATTTCTACCAGATAATTGCAGACCTAAATTTATATATTTTCTAAAGAAACTTTGATGGACATTTGTTTTTCTGCAAACTTTAATGACAGAGACTAGACTTAAAGAGTATAATTTGATCTGTGCCCTTTTCTCCTCCTTTGTGAATGTTCATACAAGGAGAAATTAGGACAGACTGGTAGAAATTAATAATTTTACTCCCCATCTTCCTCTTTTCCCTATATTAAAAAAAGAAATCCTTAAAAAAATATAAGCAAATCTGAATCTCTGGCAAATATTTAATCTCAGCTGTTTAACATTACTTTCTGATTACAGTATTAGCAAAACCAGAATAGGAATCTCTTAAGTATTGAAAATTTTCTAGTGCTTGTGAGACTCAAATAATGCTAGTTATTGTCATCTATACAGTCTTCCACAAACAGCAGGTTGAAAAATTTTTTGTGTTTTGTTTTCTTTCGTTTGTTTTCTTTTGTTTGTGGTTGTTTGTGTTTTTTTACCTTAAAAAACCCCTGTGTATATAACAGATTAAAACTGAAAGGTGACAAATCCAGTTGATTTATCATATTTAACACTCCCCTCTTGATCACATGAGGATGAGTTAAATACCATTGGTATTTAACATCCTATTGAGAAATTTCTGCAAAAGAAAAATGGTCTTATGGGGTGAATGCTATCAATCATTGTAGAAATAGACAAGCAAATCAGACCTTTGTAACAAATGCTGCTTTTCGTGGAATGTTCTGCATAAGTTTTTCAGGTAGTAATCACTTGCTCTTACTTTGGTTTCTTGTGATGATATGTGTCTGTCTATAGATAGACATCTCTTAAAGTATCTGATTAGAAACATCAACCTACGGAAGTGTTGGTTGCAGTTTCAAGATTAAAGTGGTCTGTCATCATTCCACGCAGTGTTTTCTCACACTGCTTTTTTTTAAAAACTACATATAATTCCGTAAAGTTTCACCATGAGTTTATCTTTAGATATATAGACCATGAGTTATAGGATAGTTAGTCCATCAAAACTTGCATTTCGTACTATATGGATGATTTTAACTATTACATTGTGAAAGACTTCACAACTGAATATAGCAGTTACTAATCACTTAACAAGGTTCTGTTTCATCCTCTTTCAATATTTATTTCTGCATAATCTGGAGAGGAACCTACACAATGGGTTTGACTTTCTATTAGGTATCTACTTTGGGAACAGAACCGCTAAAATGGCATGGTGAGACATTTATTCAAAACAGTCTAGTTCTGTAATGGTTACACAATGCTTTCATATATGGTATCTGCCTCAAAACTGCAGTTTTTATCATTTTCCCCACAACCTGCCCACTTCTTGACAGGGGATTGACATTCCTGACCTCCTAGTGGCTCCAGTCAGCCAACGTTTTCTGATCAAAAGAGAATAGAGCTGGATTCAGGCAAGGACCTCATTCTCTGGTGAGGAATGAGGATAGGAGGTGCTTGAATGCAGATTCCTATGAGTTAATGACCTATTATGGATAAATGAAGTGTCATGCTCAGTACAGGAAAAACATTGTGACTTTTCTGAATGGTTTTTTGTTTGTTTGTTTGTTTGTTTGTTTGGAGGGGAGAAAAAGGGACACAGCTGGATCTTACACACATATTTTATGATGTTCCATCACATCAAGCAAAAATAGAATTCTCTCAGGGGAGGAAGCAGCAATCTCTGCTCTGTTAAACACTTCTGTGGGACTTTCTGAATGAATATTTCTGTTAGTGGTACATTCTTACAGCTTGCTTGTGTCTCAGGTATTTCTTGGTCACCACCACTCCCCTACAACCCTCCAAAAGATAAAATTTAGGACTGTATTGGCTGTAGAAAGTGAAGTCACAAACTTATTCCATACCAAAGACAACTAAAAATAGGACACTTTTCAGAAAATACATTTAGTAGAATGTGTTCTCTTTCTGAAGTGATCAGACAGTTTTCTTGTTGATGGATAGAAAGAAAAAATAGTTTGTTAATTGGAAGAAGTAACTGCCTTTTCTTGTTTTAAAGTCTATAAATATATGGGATTTTTTTCTTCTTCTCTTTTCCGTTGTCAGTTTGCCTGTTACTTCAGGTCAGGCTGCTAAAATAGGAGTTAAGTCTAGAAAATGCCTGATAAAAAGTTTAATCCACTAAGAAATTATAGTGAAGTTCAGAGAGATGCAGAGACAGTGTGAGCTCTCATCTGTTAATTAAGTAGAATAGGACAAATATATTGCAGAAATGGGAATTTGCTGGCTGATTCCCTATGCTTGTGCACCACAGCCAGCAGATGGTGCATGGCATGTTAGCATGGTAGAAGCCAGACATATCCTACATGATGAGCAAAAATGTTTTAAATACCTGAAGGTGGTATTTTAGGATCATGTGCTTCTGCTGGTCACTTGAGTTTCTTTCTGTACACTCCCTGCTTCCTAAAACTAATAAACTCATATTAACTACTCTAATTTCTCCAATAATATTCCCTCTTCTAGTTGATTCACCTTTCTAGAAAGCTGTGTTGGAGTCACTTAACAGTGTCTATAAAAAGAGGGGAAAATATAGAAAGGCAAAATAAGAATTTTTAATGAGTAGCTGTGTTCCTGCACTTACTGTTTATCACTAAAATACTATGCAAGTCTATATTCAAGCTTTCTACAGATAAGAAGACAGCTGTATCTCTTTTAAAAAAACCCAATAGAATAAAATAATGAAGTACATTCAACATTCAAAAACATAGAAGTTAATTTTTCTGCTTGGCAGGATTTTTACCAAGTAAGAGATCACGTTTTTTAATTTTCTTTCCTTGCATGCTTATGTGTTTGTGTCAATATTGAAAGGGATTTGGGGTTGTTTGTTTGTTTCTTTGTTTGTTTGTTTCCCTGAGGATGGGAAGAGATTACATACATAATGCAAATTTCAGGACTATTATACCATTCATAGCAGAACAGTAAAAATCTCACTCAAACACATGGGGGCACCAGTAGTTCAACTCGGGCACTTCGTAGCACTTTAAATTCATAAGAGGAAATGTGAAGTCCTATTTTCATTTTACAAATATCATTATCTACCGTAAATTCAATACCCCAGAAAGCCTCTTGTGTGGTTGGTTTGTTTGTGTTTGATTTGGTTGTTCTATTTTTATTTCTTAAAAGCATTTCAAATTAAATTATTGTTGGTAAAGGTGCTGGCATGACAGCCTAGAGTCTGAAGTTTTCAGTCTGTGGAAGAGGCATAATGCTGTCAACCTCAGTGACAACATTAAATGGTGTCTTCCAAATCCTAAACATTTGTAGGAATAAGAAAATGTGAAAAATATGATGCTTCTTAGGGAGGCTTTTGACTCTCCTGCTGAGACTGCTTGTAGCTACTGAGGAAAGACTGGGGTTGGTTTGATTATTTTGAAAGGAAACAAATACCTGTTTATTGCTTCAGAAAAATGTTGTTACTGTTTCCCCGATTGAGATGATAAGGGAGTCTGTAACGTTTTGAAAATATTTCTACTAACAACTGGTAGTTAATGACTTGTCAGCACAGACTCTGTACAAATAGCACTTTGCATGACACCTACTGCCTGCAAAATTATGCAGATTACTCAGGCATTTTAATAATGTATGTTTTGTTTACATTTTACTAATAAGAAAACTTGAGTGCTGTATTTGCTGCCTGTCCTGCATCATACCTGCAAGACTGATACTTGTTTCCTACAAGCACAGTAAAATCCTTGTATTAGAAAGTTGAAAAAACTTTTGCTGATGAAGGCACTCGGTAAAACCAGCGCAGAACTGGCCTTTGCACACGTTAGCTTTTGGGCTAATGTGTGCTATTCTTATAACCAAATAGATTTGGACTTCCTTAGATGACTAGAAGTCAATGGTTATCGTATGATATCTGAGGGTCAGCAAACATGGCAGTGTGAAGTCTGTGTCCTCTTTGCTCTAGTTTACATCCTCCGTGCCAGACTCCAGGGACAGCAATG